GGGCGGCGACCTGGAGCACAAGGGGCTTCCCTCTGAAGGTGTTACTTGTGCTCTGCGCTGAGGCCTGGGCTGCGAGCCCCTGCAACCCTGTGCTCCCCACCCTCTAGCAGCCACGTGCAGGTGGCACGGTGGTGGACAGGAGGAAAAGGCAGACCCCTCTGCTCTGTGCCTCTTCCATGGAGGCCCAGCTGAATCTCGGGGCTGGGCCTCAAGCAGGTGCCCGGTAAATGCTCGCTGAGCTGGCAGATGAGGAGTTAAGGGAAGCTGGCCCGAGGTCTGTTGAACAAGATCCCTCTGTGGAGGGGGAGTGCATCTGGTGATAGCTCTGTTTGATCGAGGGACAAAGGAATGGGGACAAAGGCAGTGACGAAGAGCTTGGCTCTTCTCCCTCTACAGCCGGTCAAGGAACAATTTCCACAAAGACAGACCCTAAAAATAGCTCAGAGCTGGCTGCATCCCTGCCAGCCCCACCCGGACGAGGCAGTGTGTGAGCAGCCTCCAACCCTCAGTGCTCACGGGGCTCGGCCACTGGCCCAGGTGACTCAGCCGAATGGGCCTCTGCCTGTGGAACCCAGCCCCTGGCCGGGGGGCGGCATTCCAAGAGGGCCCCAGAGGTGTCCTCTAGCACATTTGTGTGGACGCGCTGGCTGCTGGGTACCTGAGACACTCTGGTGTGACACACCTAGCCAGGAGGGCCCAGTGGCGGCTTTGCTGGGAAGCAGACAGACATGGACGAGTGGTGCAGGGAGAGGGCCTTGGGGAAGCAAGGCCTAGTGTCGTCCGGAAACCAGACATGTAGTTGCCAGGGGTGGTGCCCTGGAAGTTTGGCAGGGCACCAGCACACAGTGATGGCGCTGGGAGGCTGGCATCCAGAGCGAGTGGCCAGGATGTGACTGGCCCCACTCTCCAGTACGAGGAGTAACAGGGTCGGTGGCTGGCGATCAGGTGCAATTTCTGAGGAGGACCCTTCGGAGGGAGAGCCTGGCCCTTACCCCTGGCCCTGTGAGAGGGGCTTCGCGGTCCCCTCGCGTGCACAGGCAGGGCAGTGGCGCCTAGGACTTCAAGGGCAGGGGCCGAGGGCCGGCGGGGGCAAAGGAGTAGGAGCCTACGTGTCACGGAGTGGCTGTAGCAGCGAGCATGGGCAGCCAGGGGCCCTTTTACCTTCTGACTAGGGGTGCTGGGATGCTGACAGAGAACACGGAGCAGAGTAGGGGGCAGGCTCCACCCGGAGGTGCATTCTGTAAAGTAATTGAGGTCAAATGGTGTCCTGGAAGCGACCAGTCCGCAGTAAATTCCTGCCAGGCCCAGAGACACGCAGCACACTGGGACAGCACACCAGAACCCCTGCCCGTCCCCTCTCCGCCCTCTGCTGCTTCCATAGCACTGGGGTCACAGCCTGTCCACAAGCCGAGGAAGGAGGGGCAGTGATGGGCGTGGGGTGGCAGAGAGGGGCCTTCCTCCCCCACTGTCGTCTGCTGGGTCTGGGCGTGTAACTGCTGAGAGGAGGCTGCGTTCTACCTGATGTGGCCACAGAGCTGCCCGCGGTGTTGGGACTGTCGCAGGGCTCACCCGGACTTTCCTCTGGGGCAGACTGCGTTCGTCGGTGGGAGGGACGGCTGGCTCACGACTGTGTACGTGTGGTGCGCGTGTTCACTGTGTTAGTGGCGTGAAGGCTGGCGGGCGGGCAGTCCAGATGTGCAGGTGCAGAGGCCGTGTCTTGAAGTTGCCGCAGATAGGACTTGCTCACTGCCTGGCTGTGCAGTGGCAGAGGAAGAAGACTTGGACCGCGTGACCTGTGCCACTGGGCGAGCTGGAGCCTTCACTGAGGAGGGGGCTGGGAGCGAGCTTTGCGTCAGCAGAGCGCAGTGCGGGAGCAGGAATTCTGTCCTGCCCACAGAATTCGTGGATGAAACTATTTTTGCCCAGTGGAGGTGTGGACGGTACGGCTGGGGCGAGGGAGGCTGAGGGACGGCAGGGCGGAGAGCGTGTGTCTGGAGTCACAAATGGTGTTTACGTTCGGGGAGAGGGTGCTGGGGCTGGTGGGGTGAAGTGAAGAAGGTCCCAGGCCGAGCCTTCTCTGAGCCTTTGGCTGTTGGCCCAGCCCAGCAGTCAGAAGTGGGAGGGAAGGGGCAGCAACGCCTCGGGCCAGCTGTGTCCTGGAAACAGCTAAGACAGATCTCAGCGATCAGCCGGGCTGATGTTGCTGAGAGGTTAAGGGAGGTGTGAACTTGGCAGAAAGCAGAGGAGACTCTGGAATGTGTAGGTTGGCAGTCAGGGAGGACAGGTAACGTCCGCTGTCCCGAGGGTTTGCTCTGTGACGTGGAGCCCGGCGGTGGAGGTTACTGTGGAGAGATCTGAGAACTGACTTTTTTTAAAGTTTCCAATTGGAGATAACAGCTGTAAGAGACAACTCAGAGAGACCATGTGTCCTTTGCCCTGCTTCCTCCAGTGGTGACAACCTGCAGAACCAGCACTTCGCACAGCCAGGTGTCATGTGGACACTGTCACAGCTAAGATACCAAGCTTTCTGTCCCTACGAGTCCCTCCTTGCTCTCGTAGCCACGCCCACTTCCCTCTGGCTCCCCCCTCTTCATCCCCGGTGACAGGAACGGAATCTGCTGACCCCTGTCCTGCCGTTCCAGGGGTGCATGACTGAAACCCTGCTGCCGTCACCAGTACGGCTGCTCTCACTCCACATGACTCCCTGTCATCGGCGCTTTGTCCTCCTGTGGCTGAGTGGTCCGCAGAAGTGGGTGGGCACGGTCTGCGTCACCCCCCACCCCCATCAAGAGGGTTTGGGTGATTTTCAGGCAGAGCTGCCCTGCGTCTGGGTGCAGCTCTCCGCCCTCCGCGGTAAACGCCGTGAGCACGGTTGCCGGCTGCACGGCAGTTGCACGGTTCATTGTCGAAGGAGCTAAAACTCTCCCAGAGGGTGGTCCATTTTCCATCCTGCCAGCGGTGTGCGAATCGTCCAGTTTTCCGCACCCTCGTGTTTGGGGGCGTCGTGGCGTACCACCATAGTAGCCATTCTGGTGTGAACCGATGCGTCGCTGTGGTTTAACCTGCACTTCCTAGGAGTGGGAAGCATCTTTTCATGCTTACGTGCCACGTGTACGTCTTCGTCAGTGAAAAATGTCTCTACCTGTTGCCCCTGGTCCTCTTGGATCGTTCTTTGACGAGAGAGTTTTACATATTTTAGATACTAGTTCTTTGTCACTGAAGTGGCATTTCATTCGGCTTTGGTGGACAGTTCCCTAATGACTCAGGACACTGAGCATGCTTTTCGTGCTCCTTACACCATTTACATGTTCTCTTTGGGAAAATGTGTGTTCAGATCCTTCGCCCATTTAAAAATTGGGTTATTTGTCATTTTATTATTGACCCGTAAGATTTACTTATATATTATAGATCTAGATCCTTATCAGATATGTGATTTGCAAATATTTTCACACATTCTGTGGGTTGTCTTTTCACTTTCTTGATGGTGTCACTTGAAGTACAAAGGATTTTTATTTTAATTTTTATGAAGTCTAATTTTTCTGTTTCTTTTTACCACTTATACTTTTTGTGTTATATCTCAGAATCTGTTACTTAATCTAAAGTCAGGTTTACTCCTAGGTTGTCTTTTAAGATTTTTCTGGTTTTTGCTCTTGTATTTTGATCTATGATCCATTTTGATTAATTTTTGTATGTGGAATGAGGCGCGGGACCCACTTCATTCTTTTGCATGTGGTAGTTTGTGTTTTGAGAAACTGACCTGCCTCGTCCAGGTTGTCAGACGCATGCAGGGTCGTCGGTAGTAGTCTTTATCCTTTCCATATTTGCTGGCCCCTGCCGCAGTCCTGATATTGATAATTTGTCTTTTCTCTTTTTTTCTTGGTCAGTAGTGCTAGAGACCTGTCAACTTTACTGATTTTTTTCAAAGAACCAACTTTTAAAAAGATTGATTTTCTCTACTGTTTTTGTTTTCAGTTTTGTTGATTCTGCCGTTGTCTTTATTATTTACTTTTTTTCTGGTCAATTTGGGTTTATGTTGCTCATTTTTTTCCTAGCCGCTTGAGGTATAAGCTTAAATTGTTGATTTGAGACTTTTCCTCTTTTGTAATATATGTATTTAATGCTATAAATTTCCCTCTTGGAACTGGTTTAGCTGTGTCCTTCAGATTGGATATATTGTATTTTCATTTTCATTCAAATCAATATATTTTAAAATTTCCCTTTACACTTCCTCTTTGACCCATGGATTACTTAGAATTGTTTTGCTTATTTTGTGTTTGGAGAATTTCCTATCATCTATCTATTATTCATTTCCAGTTTAATTCTGTTATGGTTAGAGAATACACTGAATTTGAAAGACTGTCAATTTTAAAAAAATGTGTTGAGGTTTGTTTTTTGGCTCAGGGTATTATCCAGTGCAAGTGAAATATATAACCCTTACTTTCCTTATGTCTCTCTACCCTCCCCTGTTCACAGTACAATTACCTTAAGCATTTCCTATACATATATTTAGAATCATGTCAGAATGTGCTATAATTTTTGCTTCCCGTCAGATGTAATTTAGAAAACTCAAAGGACAAAGAAAATCTATTTACTCCTATCGTATTTTTACTCTTTTCATTGTTATTTCTTCCTTCCTAATAGTCAACAAATTCCTTTTTTCATTTCATTTCTGTTTAGAGAACTTTTGTTTGCTATTCTCTTAGGGTAGATCTCCTGTTGACAAATTCTCCAGTTTCCCTTGTTTTTAATATGAGAATGTCTAGATTTCCACATCGTTCCTGAAGGATATTTTTCATGGGTGTAGGCATCTTGGTTGACAATTATTTTCTTTCGGCACCTGAAAAGTATTGTGCCACTTCCTCTTGGCTGCCATGGTTTATGATGAGAAATTTTTTGAAATGTTTTTCTCGATAAATGAGGCATCATTTCTTTCGTGCCACTTTCAAGATTTTAAATTTGCTTTGATTTCCTGAGCTTGATTATGATATGTCTTATTGTGGATTTCTTTGCATTTATCCTGTTTGGTATTCTCTTAGCTTCTTGAATCTATAGATATGTCTCTTGCCACATTCTGGAATTTTTCAGCCGTCAATTTCTCAGTACATTTCAGCCTTCTTCTCTTTCCTCTGTACTCAGCTACTCTGAAAACATGGATGTCAGATCTTCTGCTATGGTCCCACAAATCCTTAAAGTTCTGGTCTGCTTTTTCTTGATAGTTCGTTTTGTTGTTTTTTTAAGTCTGTTTTCTCTGTTTATCAACTTGGGTAATTTCTATTGTTCTCTTTTACAGTTCACTGATCTTTACTCTGTTCCCTTTAATACTTCTGTCATCTCTGTCATCTCAGTGTTGGTGATCTGTGTCAGTCAGCATTTTCCAGAGAAACAGACCAATAGGATAGAGGTTCTATTTACATATGTAATCCGACCCACTTGAGCCAGTGGTGCACATGAAGTCTGAGAGCAGTCTGCTAGAATTTCTCTTACTCGGGAGAAGACTGGCCTTTTTGTTCTAGTCAGGCCTTTGGCTGTTTGGATGAGGCCCACAACACCATGGCCCACCACAATCTATCAGTAAAACTGTTCATCTCATCCAAAAACTCTTGCAGAAATACCAAGAATAATGTTTGCCTAAATATAGCCCAGTCAAGGTGACACACAAAATTAAACATCGTGGCATATATTGTCTTTTTTCATTGCTTGTGCTCTTCTCAGTTCTTGGTATGACAAGCACGTTTCAGCTGAAAACTGGCTGTTTTTGGTACTTTGTTGTGAAACCCTGGATCTTGTTTAAGCCTTGGTTTTAACTGGCTTCCTCTCTGCAGCTGTCAGGGGAAGGGGGGCTGCTGCCTTGCTGCTGCAGGGTGGGAGTAGAAGTCTGGTTTCCTACCTGGCGTCTGCTGACACACTGGGGTGTTCTCCACCTTTCTGCTGAGTGGGGTGGCAGCTCTGGCTCCCCTAGGGCGTGCCTCTAGGCCACTTCCCTGGTTGGAAGGATTAGACGCGTCTCCCCCTTGTTTGCCACATGGTCTCTCTTGTGTGAGAGGGCGGGGGTGCCGCCTCGCTGCTGCTGGTGGGAGCCCTACTGTCCACCTGGTCTTTCTGACGCTCAGTCGGGAGGGGCGTGGCTCTGCACCGCTGTGCGGCAGTGGGGTCCAGGCTTCCGAGCGGCCTCCACGAACCTCACAGAGGTGGGCAGAGCAGCAGAGGGGTAACTTGTCCTTCTTTGACACCCTGGGTGAAGGGTATGGGTAGCTTGGTTGACTCATTCCAGTGTGGGGAGGGCAGATGTCTCAGCTTTCTGCTGGGTCCCTGCTGGCAGGGGTGGAGGTGGCACCACCGTTTTCCTGTTGTGTCCGGCCGGAGTAGTGCAGTGATGGTCTAGAAGTTTGGTGTCTTGCTAGGCTACCCCTTTCCTTCCCTATTGGTTAGAGAGAGCTGGCTTTGTTGCTGATTCTTTTTCTGTACCTGTTGGCATTTCCAGGTTGCAGGCTTCTTCAGCTGCAAGTCTGGGATACGTGAGACATAAAACAAACTTGCCGTGAGTCCAGAGGTCCCAGCTTGTCTGCTTCCTGTTTTTCTTTCCACTTTTTCAGAGTCTTTTTATATTTGCTCTGTCCGTGCTCTGCTGGGCATTCATTGTACTTTGTGGGAGAAATAGGGAAGAGTGTGTCTACTCCATCTTCTCAGAAGTAAAGTCCTGGTTTGTCTCGTTTTGTTTTTCAAGATGAGCACAGTGTGGCTTGGCTGCCGGTGGGCATGTTCCTCTGGAGAGGGGGACGTAGGAGTCAGGTCCTCGAGTAGGTGAGGAGGCTGAGATCGCAGCAGCATCTCTCTGTTTTCCTAGGAAGGAGGCAGGTTCTGAAGGTGTCCTTCGGGGAGGCTGGTGGCTTTGGTGGTCACCATGGCACACAGGCCGGAGTTGCGGTGGGTCTGGCAGAGGCGTGGTCAGGCAGTGCGGTTGGCATTTACCATTGGAGTGTGAATGTCCAGTCTGGGTCAGTATCCAGGAATCAGAAGCCACTTGAAGCCACAATAAGTCACAGTGCAGAGGACCCTGGATTCCCAAGGGTAGAGCCTGTAAATCCTGCCCAGGCCAGCAGGTGCTGGAGGGTGGGGACCCACACCGTAGCACCTGGGACTAGCCCCAGCCTCAGGGCTGTCCTGCCTCTGTCATGCCCAGGGCCCCGGCCCTTGACTGGTGAGCTGCCTCTGAAGGAGGAGCCAAGGGCCAGGCAGTTGCCTTGTGGTGCTCACTCCTTCTTGGGTCATTTCTGGACCACGTCTGCTGGGGGCCCGCAAAACAGAACAGCTGGGAACTGACTGGGTTGGGAGGCGCTTGCCCGGTTGCAGGCTGTGCTGTAGAAGCCGCAGGTCTGGGCCAGAGGCCCTCCCTTTGGGCAGTGGTGTGGGCACGCCCGAGCCCAGGCAGTCTTGGGCCAGACCCAGGCGAGAGCTATTCCCTGGTAGCACGGGGACTTGTGGTGGATCTGGGGCTCTGGGGCTCTGTGGCACGGGGCCCACCGCCTCCGTGCTGTGTGCCTTGGGGCTGCATGTGCAGGAGCTGCCTCATCAGTTCAGCAGCCTGGGGAGGGGTCCCATAGAGGTTGGGTGTACGGCCTTCGGCCCCCTGGGATGAGTCCAGGGCTTTTTGGCACTGCTGGGCAATGGCCAGGAGTGCCGAGCGTCCCCTCACTCAGAGAGGGCTCTGTGGGGCAGGGGGGCAACACTGACTGTGGGTCCTGCCCAGACTCCCACCGCCTGGACCCCGCCGGGCGTCTGTGAGGGGCTGGGGCTGCGTCTGCTCCACACGCCCTTCCTCGTCTCCTCTTGCTTCCAGACAAATGACGCGGCCGGCAACACGTGGAACTGGCTCTACTTCATCCCTCTCATCATCATCGGCTCCTTCTTCATGCTTAACCTGGTGCTGGGCGTGCTCTCTGGGTAAGGGCCGTGTGGGCTTGTGTGCTGCCCTGTGTTCTCAGGCCGGGGACAGCTGCAGGTGTGTGTGACGTGCGGGACACGGGGCCTGGCCTGTCCACACGGCTTGCCCTCCCTGACACAGGCGGTCATGCCCAGCGTCCTCAGCTTCAGCCAGCCTATTCTTTGTGCTGCATTCTGAACTCGCTCTCGATCGTCCCCCGGCCTTGGCCTGCTTACCTCTCTCCCACCCTTGGCCAGCACCCTGGCCCTTGAGTGCGGGGGCAGCTGCTGCTGCCTCTTACCTGGGTCCACGGTGGGCTTTCGGACAGCCACGATCAGGGAATGAGGGGGTGGTCAGCAGTCTCAGTGGTGACTCCCCCCCCCGCAACCCTGGCCCTGCCTGTTCCTCCTCTCTGATCACTTCCTGCCCTTTGTCCTTGGCCCTGCCTGCCCCTTCTGTCTGGTCACCTCCTCTCCCCCAGCCCTGGCCCCGACGGTCCCTCCTGCCTGATCACCAGTCCGCCAAACTCCTCCAGGGGAGGACAAGGGAGGGCACAGCTCTGGAGCCCATCCTCCAGAGAGGTGCTTCCTGACCCCGCAGGGAGTGAGGCGCACAGTGCCCTCCTGCCCTGCGGGGGGCTGAGGGCTGCGGGAGCTGGCGGGGAAGGCGGTAGAGGGCCTGGGGCCTGGCCTGCCCCTGCCCCCGCCTTGGTGTCAGACATCTTGTGAGGCTGGAGGGGACTGTGTCCATTCCACCCATGCTGAAGATTCCGGCTCAGGACCCAGGCTCTTGTGCTGGGCTGGGAGGAGCCTGTGGACCTGAGGGCAGCTGTCGGGCTAGCCTAGGAAGGAGCCACCATTGAGAGGACAGTGGCTGTCCTCTCTGGCTACGTGCTCTGGCTCTGGAACGAGTCCTTAGCCTTGGTCCTTTCTTCTCTGAGTATTATTGTTACTAGCATGTCTTTCCAAGCACCTGCACAGGGACCAGGCACGCCACGGTGAAGGGGACAGAGGTAGAACTCCTTTCGGGAAATTGCATGTCCGAGCTGGCAAGGGAAGTGGGGAGCGGGGAGACCTGGGTTCAGAGCAGGTGCCTGCGATGGGGCATCTCAGCTGAGACCCAAAGGGGACCAGGAATGAGCTTGGTGAAGGATGGAGGCGAGTCTCCCAGGTGGAGGAGCTGTGTGCAGGCCCAGAGGTCCAGAGGGCGTGGTGCCTGCGCTGAGGACAGGCGGGGTCGGGGGAGGTGGCAGGAGCATGAGTGGGTTCGTGGTAAGGCTCAGGGCAGCTTTGCGCAGCTCCCTGGAGAACGTGCTGAAGGTTGGGGTGGGAGAGGAGGCTGAGGGTGGGTCGTGTGGCCCCTGCACCGAGCGGGGCCAGGCTGTCTTGCCAGCCCTCCTCCCACCCGTGAGCATTGTGGCCTCTGGGGAGGATTTTCCTCCTCGGGCATCCCGGTCCAGCAGAGAGACCCAGGGTTCTCGTCCAGCTGATGCTGTGGGCCCCTCACACCAGCGGTCAGTGCGCAATGTGTGGGCCCTGCCCTGGGCGCCCTGTGAGGCAGCGGCAGGTGCATGCCCCTCGACAGCCTGGCTTGGGAGGGCTCTGCTGTGGCTGGGGCTTGGAGCGGATGATCCGGCCTCATTCTTCTCCCTGCATCTCAGACGGGCAGAGTTGGCGACCCCTCTCTGGCCCTTAGCAGTGAGGACTGAAGCCTGGGAGGCAGGCTGGCCACCAGCCACCAGGTAGGGAGGGGCTGCTGCACTGACTTCCTGCCTGTGACTCTCAGGTGCACTCAGCAGTATTGTCCCTGCCCTACTCCTGCCCCCAGGCCCTCCTGCCCTCAAGGACCCTGAGCTTCTGTAGTTTCGGGACTTGGAGGGAATGGCAGTTCCAGGCAGGAACTGTTTCCTCTCACTGCTAGGATTGCAGCATCGCAGGCCCTGGTAGACACTGGCCACAGGTGAGGGGTTGGTCCTGGTCAGAGCCAAGCTCTCCGCCACCTTGCCGAGCCTGTGCGCCAGCGGTCAGGTCTGCCAGGCTCTCTCCTCCAAGCCTAGAGCTGCTTTCCCTGGGAGAGAGCCCCTCGTGGAGGACAGGCATTGCTATTTTGCTGTGGGGCTGCACCCTGCCCCGTGCCTGAGCTGAGAGGGTGCAGCCAGGCCGGACACCTGTGTGTGCTTGTGCGCTCGCGTGCATGTGCGTGTGCGCGTGCGCGTGGATGCTTCCTCTGGCACAGTCAGCCTGACAGCTCGGCTGGGAGTCTGTGCGCTGGGGCCAAGGGGGCGAAGTGCTCTCTGCTGCTTGCCTTGAGCCACAGATGTTTGGCAGGGAGGCCGGTGGCTCTGGCACGGTTCCCTTCTGTCCCTGGCCTGCCCTGGTCTAGCCCTGTCTTCCTCTTCCTATCTGTCCCTCCTCCCCTTGGCAATGCTTTGGATCTCAACCAGCAGAAGAAAGGAAGCGAGAGCCCCTTGGGGCACCCCGTCCAGAAGCTCTCTGTAGGGCAGCAGATAGCAGTGCTGGTCACAGAGGGTGATGCCTAGTCTGCTCCAGGCGGGGCGTGCGGGATTGTCCCTGCCCTCTGGAGCCCCCTCTGAGGACCAAGGTGCTGTCCTAAGGAGCTGCAGGAGCCTGAGCAGGGAGGGTCCACCTGTGCCCTGAGTGCTCTTTGGGTTGGAAGAGGCCAAGGGCGGGGCTCCTGGGAGTGGCTGGCGTCCTGCACCTGCCTCTCCCCGTTCCCCCAGCCTGCGGGTCTGCGGGGCGCTCACACCCAGTCCCTCTCTGTGCTCTTCTGGCGGCTGCCTCACAGCGAGTTTGCCAAGGAGCGCGAGCGGGTGGAGAACCGTCGGGCCTTCCTGAAGCTGCGCCGGCAGCAGCAGATCGAGCGGGAGCTCAACGGGTACCTGGAGTGGATCTTCAAGGCCGGTGAGAGCTAGGGCTGCTGCCTGTCCAGTGTCCTTCCCCCTCCCCGTCCTCGAGCTGGACGGGACCCACCCAGCGGACCAGAGCCGAGGTCACGTGAAGGACGGGAGTGAGCTCACCAGGGCCCTGACACGGGCTGCTGGGCTCTGGGCCCCTGGCCCGGCCCAGAGCTGGTCTCTGCCTGTCAGACCCAGGTGCCCAGCCCTTAAGCCCTTCTCCCTGGCTCTGCGCCCTGTCGAGCCTGGAGCCTCTGACCCTGGTCCCCGCCCCAGGCCAGTGCTCTTGCCTTCATGCGGGGTGCCTGTTTGTGTCTTGCGAGGTTTACGGGGGCCTTCTCAGTGTGAACCGCCTAGTTGGCTGTTCTCAGAGAGGGTGACTTGTGAGTGGAAACCCCAGGCCCTCTTCATGGGGCCTGTGGGACACAGGGCGTCTGTCTGTGGGACACGGGGTGTCAGTGGGACATGGGGTGTCTTTGGGACATGGGGCATCTGTCTGTGGGACACAGGGCATATATTTTGGTAGACAAAGCTCAGCCGTGGGTTTTTGTTTCAAGTTCTGCACGGTCCTAGCGCAATGCTTTCAGTGTCATGGTCCCCCTTGAACAGGGATATCTTTGGGGG